AAAATCATGCGAAAGAAAATTCATATGAAACAAATATTCTATGTACCAAAAGATGGGAGACTCTTATTTGTGGGTATCTTGCTACTAGGAAGAATACCTTCATCTTATTGCGGGATTTTAATGCGTATGTTGATGTTTGGCTTAAAACAGGGGTATGGTTTAGCGGACGCTATCGTAATACTATGGTTTTATCGCAAATTAATTCCTACTAAATGATACTTTTAATTTTACGAATTTCAAAAGCTCATCGTATAAATAATATTAAAAAGCAATTATGTAACATTAACTTTGGCTTGACTGTCGAATCTTAAAGCCAAGTAATTTACATTCACAAAACATTAAAAATTTTCTTTTTACTCTTAATTTTCATTCGTTTCTATTACGTATAAATCGTTTGAATTTGAATAGAATCGACAGCGGAAGGTACTCGCAAAGGTACGGGAGCAATTTACATTCGTGTTTATTGCGTCCTCGACATTTCATGTGAATGCGGAAGAGTGTCGTGGCAGTGGCAGAGCAACGTCGGGAGAAACTGATGTTTAACCAAAGTATGTGTATTTTTAGATGATCTGCACATCTTCAGTGAAGGTTCTTGCTACACTGGATTACGCCTCAAGGCTCAGTGGCGACCTTAGGAATTTAATGCGTTCCAGCATCATCATCCAAACAGCACGCGTCACTCTGAAGGCCGAATCAAACTCGAACGAATGATTTTTATTATTTCTGTTTATTACGTTTCCCCTGATAGCGGGGGAAGTTTTTTCTGTAGATATTTGTAATACGATTTTTCAATATATTAATATTTCTTTTGCGTGTACTTTTCAATGTACATCTCCCTTGCTTTGTGAATATTGTTGGATTAATGTTTCTTGCAAAAATTATTTTTTCAATAAAAAGGTACCCTCAATACAAGGACTCTACGGCGTCGATTCTTGGAAAGTTGTGTGGCATGTACTAGGCATGTTTTCCGTATCCTTACCGTACGTATGTAATTTCAAAAATTATAAAAATTATTCCAGACACGTTTTGGGTTCACTGATATTAAAACAGTTTTTTCAAAATGTCTTTTCGTGTGTTCATTCTTCCGTCTGTCCGTCCGGCTGCGCATAACATGAACGTCCAAACCATTCGTAGTTTTTTTTCTAAAATGAATGTTCCACAGTCGATCTGGCGCTACTCGAAGTTCTGTCATTTTGGAAATAATTTTTGAAAGTGTTGGATGTAATTTACGTGTGGTGTCAGGGATATTTTCGTATTTTTTCAAAAATTACCCCAAAGTTTTGCCTGTAAATTTCTTGTAAGGATATAATGAAATTCACTTAATAAGATGACATTTTTTTATCGTTAACCGTATTTTAAGAAATTAAAAGTTTGATTTTTGGAAATATTGTGAGAAACGTGAGCCATATTTTTAAAAAAATATTAAAAACAAGAGTTTCTCAAAATGCTCCAACTTTTTTCTTCGAATAGTACAGATAGTCTTAAATGCACTATTTAAAGTTACATAAACGCGGTTTGGTTGTTTTCTTTGCTTTTCCAAAAGTTGTAGTTAACGGCATTTTGTTGCGAAAGTCTACAGTTTTGCGTTTATGAGTATAAATGCTTCAAGTAATGTTTCATAATGTTTACCGAAAACTGAAAAGTTCTCTTCGAAAAATATTTCAAAATTGCGCATTTTCATAAACGTTCAATAGTCATTTACTAAAAATGAGTTCATTTTCTTCTTGAAAATTTTTTTTGGGACCGTGCTAAATGCACTGAATAACATGACTAATGTCATGTTTTTTTAATATACAAAAATAGTTTCTCAATTTCTCCGACGACTTGCGTTTGTGAGTAAAAGTTCTTCAAATGATTTCCAATGAAGGCTCTTGATAACTCATTTTTTTGGTGAAAATGGGCTTAAAATCGCAAATTTTCAAAATTGTCCAAACAAACCTTTCTCAAAAACGTCAATAATTTCAACAAAAATTGCAAATAAATTTCACTCTTCCATAATATTCCTAAAGGCACTTATGTATACTACCAATACGGGGCTGAAAATGGAGAAAATGGAATACAAATGGTACTGTGGTTGGTAATAGACGGTAGCAGGAAAGAGCTTGGACATTAGATAAATATCTAGGACTGGAAATTACGTGCATTTCTGAAGCTCCATTAGGTTTTAAAAACTTCCGTCCGTGTATCTGTAAACAACACTAGCGCCTAAACTATTCGTAGGATTTTTCCAAGCTGATCTAACGTACTCCTAAGTGAGTGATTCGAAAGAAGAAGAATAACATATAGGAGCAGACTATACATTAATATAATATTATTTAAGTTATATTTCAATGATATTTTTTGGATCCGAAAAATAGGAAAAACTGAAAAAAAACACCTTTTAGGTGTCAATAGATGGCAGCTAAAGAGGGGCAGAGGTCCTAAGAGAAAGCCAGAGGCCTCGGGTAGTTGATTCACGGAGGCTCCTCATTTCAAACAAAAATATCTCTAATTCCCTACGCATAAACAGAATTCATTTCACCATGCATCACAAATACCTTATATCATTAAATTTAAATTAGAGATTAATATATTTTTTAAATTTCTTTTGAAAAGTTCCTTTTGATTCTTTTTTTCCCGGCCTCTATTAAGTCGAGGGCTGGGACAAGTTGCTCCAGTTGCCCTCCCCCCTCTTGGTGGCTTCTCGGAGAGGGAAATAATACGAAATAAAAAATAGCGCAGATTTAAGAGATAAAGGAAGTAATTATTTTTCGAGAAATGTTCCATTATATAACACCTCTTGTTGATATTGGAATGCGAAAACTTAGCAGATTTACGTCGTGCAGGCAAGGGAGTAGGCAACCCGACCGACTCTTGTGTAGGGAGTGAAACATATTCAACGCCTACATGATCTACAAGAAGATACTTACAGCGCTATCACGTGGATGCGTTTTAAACTACTTAGAACATGTGAAAGAACCAACGTGGTAGTAGGTGGCAGCACCTTCTGAGATAACCACTTCCTCATACTACGGTGTAAGTCTTACAAGAAATACCATTCCGTACATATTTGTTTTCTTAAAAAGAACTAATAACTATAACCATAACTAAATTAATAGTCCTTCCACCGATTTTTTTGTGCAGTTAGGGACGATGTTTCTTTTTCGGAAAATCTTTACTAAACAACAAACAAGGTGTGTATTTTTTCTTCAAATTGAATTATTATCCATTTGTGATAAAATGAACAGTGTATTTTAACATTATTTCTTAATTCAACAGTTTATATTTGTGGTATAATTTCTTGTTAAAACCAGTTTCAATTGAAACAATTCATAACTACTTTGCGAGGTCTATCTATTAATAATATCAAATAAAACTCAATTGAATAGCGTGTTTGGAAGAACTTTCGGAAGTACTCTATGAATTGTAGCAAAATATTAGTAAAGACTTGAAATTGTAGTGCAACGTTTTGTAAAGGATTTTCAAATTTTGTAAAACGTTTTTGTAAATGAGAAAGTATTGTAATGTTGGAAGGAAACCTACGAATTTTTGACAGAAAAACTGTATTGTCGGGCCCTGGTAACACAAAGTGGATATCTTTTCAACCCAAACAGTAAATTACTTTCACTAACACATTGTGAAGTCAGAATTAATATTTTGTGGGTCCTTGAAAAATCGATTGGCGGTAGAACCGTCTATCCGATGGCCCTTCCACGTGTTAACCCTAGCGGCTACACAGTAAACAAGATTTTCTCTAAAATTGATATAATCCTCAATCGAGAAGTCGCGAACGTGTGCTGATGTCGCGACCCCTTGAATATGAAACCAATATCTTAATTGGGGGTGGGTATTTTACATGAAACATTTTCAAAATTTAAAAAAAGGCGTCGGTTTTGTTATTAAAGTTTGTTGCTGGAAAGTGTCAAGGGCGATTAAGGGAACGGCCTATGTCTCGTTTTCATTAAAATCCCTGATTTTTTGAAAATTGTGAAAGTTCAACCTTTCTTCGGCGGCTTCGCTCAAATACAATTATTGGATGCGTAATTAATTGATGCGTAATTAAATGTGCTCATAAAAATTTGAAAATAATTCGAAATGATACATTCGAAATTCCCGTGCTTCGTTTGAGCCGGCGTGCTGTTTATGAAATTTGAGACATGCTTGGAAGCAAATTGATACTCTGAGAATCCTTTCCCATTGTTTAACGTAATATTACAAATCGTAGAACATTAGTAATTTAATTAGTTTATTAGAATTGGACTTCGTTGTTTACCTGAAGTGTTTTAAGATAACATTTCAAGCGGCGTTGCCATTCCAGCTCTGACTTGGCAGTTTGAGAAGTTATTGCGAGACTTTCGTTGTCGAACAGTGACATGGATGGGATAGCGATAGGAAAAGGAGGCTTTATTTACTAAACGGTAATGTTACAATGTAACTACGTTGAATAAAACAATACAATTACGATACATTAACTACACGAAATACCGTACTTTTTTGCGAACATTTGTACATTTGGTAATGCCAAATATCAATCGTATGCTAGTACAATATATCCAAATATCAATCTTATGTTAGTACAATATATCCATTCATAAAGCGATATATTGGATTTCTTTCACTTCTGGATGTTTAACGAATACGTGAAATTATCGTTCCTTGATTACAAATGTGTTGCAAATATTATAGTAGTTGAGATTAACTCATGTTTTCATGTAAGAAAGGACTATTGTTCTCTTCTTGCGAAATAATAGCAGATATCCACTGAAGGCGCTTCGTTTCAATTGATTTGGATGTTTGAAAGTGTTGGTAGAAATTGTGATATTATAATATTGCGTAACCTTTCCCAATAATGCGAGAAAGAATGTGCTCTTGCAGCTTCTCTAGTTTTGCTCCCTGAATGGGCTAACTCAGTGTATCATCTCTTAATAAAGAGAAATGATAACAAAACAAATTCGTAGTTGTCTGTTAACTGGATGTATGAGGGGGGAAGGGGAGCACGAATCAAGGACGTTACACTTCTTTCCCTGAAAATTACTTTATTCATTAGGCAACAATGGAGCTTCATCTTAAGAAAACGTACATATAAAAGTTTTTCACTTTGAAAAGAACATTTGGGCCTGACTTCATTATACCAACTTAGCACACAGTTATATTGGTCTATTTATAATAATGTGATCACTTCACATTAATTTATAACAGCGTTTCGTTGGCATATATGTTAAATACATTTCATATAAAATAATTTCTTTCCAATGCAAAAGTAAACTAAATTAAAGTAATTTCTTGGACAATTGAGCATACCTTTTACATGAACTCAGCATTTCCATTACATGTATGTAAAAGAAAAATAACTTGGCAACATGAGATGTAATATAATCCACTCGTTATTTCTCACACACGCGCGAACAGGAGTATTTCATACATGAAAAAGTTTTTTACGTGTCGGAATAAAATTGTTTGCTGTTACTTGGACACTCGGTGGCAATTCAATCTTCTTTCGGCACTCATACATTGTTTGTCGCTGGAGCAAATGCTTGAGGCTTGTGTCTTTGATTTGTGCTTTGTGTTATTTTTCTTAGAAAGACGTCAAATTCTTTCAAAATAAAATATGAGGGATAAGTAGGGTCAATTTTATTTTAATATTAATTTTTATATTTACAAAAAAATATTTTTTACTGGTTCACGCTTAACAAGCTAGGGAAAAATTCTTTAGTATTAATTCTTGTTGCAAAAAAATGTTTACATAAAATTATAATATACTTGGGGTCATGCAAAAAGATACGTCTGAGTATTTCTTTGATTGAAAAATCCTGTTAATACTACTGCTTCCCCTTTACTTATTTTCGGAGTATCAGCACACAACTTTCATTTTCTCTCAGAATGTTTGTTTCATTTCTGTGATGAAGCAGGTTTTAATAGATCTCCCTATATTGCTGAAAATAACTACATGTTTACGATATTGTTATAGTACGTGTATGTGTAATTGTGTTTCTCACATCACAAAGTAAAAATGGGCACTTGTGCCATAATCTTAAGGGGTGAAGAGATATTATATTGCGTGAATATTAAATGACCATTCCATATTTCAGTCAAGACTTCCATTCATTGAGATCTCTTTACCAAGACCACTAAAATTTGTGTAACACTTTCATAAGTTGCTCACAATTTGTTCATAGTTCATTTGTGAATTAAATCACACATTCGACGAGAAAAAGAACTTTCAATTGTATTACCATTTCATTTAGAACACTGACACGTTAATTTGCGGTTACTTGGATGTATTTATTTTAGTATGTATATACAAATTCATATATTGAGTACAATCCCCTACTTGGAGTCTGTGATTTTGTTTCTTTTAAATATGCATGGTCTTCCCTATCATTTAAAATGCTTTTCGACATTTATTTTTATCGGGTTATTTGGTCCTGTTCAAAAACACAATCACAGTTAGGACCAGTTTTTATTTGTAGACTTCGTTTTAAATGCAAATCCTGTGATAAATCTGATTACATCATCTGAAATGATCTTACGCAACTTTCAGAATAATATTTTTGGAAGACTATTGCCAAAACTATGTATAAATTGACAATTTGGAGGGTTTTTGGCAATGAAATGTTTTGATGTTTTGTGACACGAAATATCTTGTTTTCAAATACTCAATATCTTCCTTCATATTGCAGTGCATCGGTGTTTAAAAAGGTACTGCATTGATGTCAAAAATATAATACTTGTAAAAGAGCATTTGGTTACGTGCATTAAGGTGAAAATGGATTTGATAAATACCCATTTGTGGCTAGGTAGTGTGCGTCAAAAGATGACGTGATTGTGGGCTCTTTGATATATTAGGCCAACAGGAGTTGATTACCCACAGTTAACCAACGAATAGTTGGAGACGTGTTGACAGAAAGTGGAATATGTATTATTAGGTCCTGATTTCAGGAACTGTCATGATATTCACTGATCTGGCCCCATGATATGAAAGCATGCGCAGAAAAGAAAGACCACAATTAGGCTTCAACTCCGAATTCTTTCGGTCGCAGTTCAACAACGAGATTCGCTGTTCTCCTGGAGGTATCAGTCTTAAAATGACGACGCGCTAAAACGTAAACATTTTTTTGTTGATGTCCTTCCTACTCTATCTCTCTCTCGTCTAGTTCATTCCTACTGGTATTATTGTCAACCCTTTCTCACTTCGCCAACGAGCTAAACGAGCATGTCGAGAGTAATTAAAAACAGGATCGTGACTAGATATCGGAGGTTGACTAGATCTCTTCCTACGCGCCGCGGTGGCTCGGGCGTCCGGCCGCTGCCTGGTCCTCGCCTGGACGGAGCGGGAGGGAGGCTCGGCTGCGGCGCCGCGCGCCTCGTGCGGGGCGGGGGCCGGAGCGCCGCGACGGAGGCGCTGTCACGCACCGGTGTGGGAGGCGGCGACCCGAGCGATCACAGCGTGCGTCGCTAGCTCAGCTCGCGGCCGCGTTTGGTTTGTGGTCGTCGTGGTCGTGGGAGTCGTTGGCTGCGCGGGGAGCGGCGGGGGCGGCGGGCGTGGGCGCGCGGCGTTGAGCGGCGTTCGTCCACCAGCGGCGGCAGGTCGCCAGCAGCAGCTGTAGCTCCGTTAGCCGCTGCCGCACGCGCTGGCCAGAGCGCTCGCGGTAGCGGTACGCCGTCTTGTCCACCACGGACGCCGTCTTGATGCAGTCGTCGCCGCCGAACTCGCACACGCGGTAGTGGTGGAGGATGGCGGCGTCGGGCGGCACGTTGAGCGTCCCGTGGCCCGGCACGAACTCCCACACGAAGTGGTTGCCCGCCTCCACGATGAACTCGGGCCGGCACAGGTACTTGGAGCGCTGCTTGTGCGGGTGCAGCTTGAGGCGGCGCCGCGTCTTGCGCAGCGTCACCAGCCCGCTTTCCAGGCGGTCCGCCTCGCCCAGCCCGGCGTCGTCCTCCCACTGCAGGTAGAAGAAGGCGTTCTGGAAGGAGTAGGAGCCCGTGCCGCGCGTGTTCATGCGCGTGCCCATCCACCTGCAACACGACACGGGCCGTTGGCGCGCTCCTCCTCCTCCTCCTCGGCCTACAAGGGGGCTTCTAATGCTGAAAACACGCTGCAAATAATGTTAATGTCTCGTCAAATTAACACGATGAGTGTGTAACTATACATATTATTATTACTATTATTATTAGTATTATTATTACTATTACTAATATTACTATTATTATTACTATTACTAATATTACTATTATTTGTATTATTCGCCTACAACATCCCATATAGGGCAAAGGCCCCCTGTTTTAGTTAGGTTACAGTAGGTTGATATTTATAAAATCACATAAGTAAGCAGAGTCATCAAAACAATATAAAGCAAAAAAAAAATAGTAGCATTAAGCAGCTGTTGTAAAACAAACTATAAGACAACAAATAAATGAACAAACGAAATAATAGTTGTAAGAAACTATATAGTAGCTTTATGAAAATATATGATCAAAACAAATAGCTGGAAGAAACACTAGTTGCGCATGGGGTTATCAAGTGCATTAAACTTTTTCTGCTCATTTCATTCTATTCATTACTTGTGATAAGAAAATATATGAGCAAAACAAAACAGTAATTATAAGAAACTCGAGTCGCAATGGAGATCATAAAATGCATTGAACTTATGCTGTTCATTTCATTCTGTTCATTAGTAGTTCAACTATACATATAAAATACCACAATCAGGACGGTGGTTTTAAAACAAAATGATTTTTTACCCGATTTTTCTTATCGCTCCTCTCTACTAGCCAATAATAAGCTGATACTCATGTATCATAGGAGGTGGTATGAATCGATTGCTGTGTTGACGGTCAATTAACTGCGTATGCGCTATAACATAACCTTGTTGATTTTAATACGATTTCAGATATTTTCATTATTTGGCGCTTTTTGGATTTCTGTTGGACTTAATTTCATTCGTGGAATAGTCCTATTAAATATCACTCGCGCTTTCGAAATTCTCAGATAAATCCCGTCCTCGCTTCGCGAGTCGGCGATTTATCGACAATTTCCAAAGTACTTGTGGTATTTCCTGCGATAATACACATTGGGTGATTACACGGCATTACCTCTACTTTGCTAATTTCTGTGGAGCGAACTCGTACAGACTCAAATGAATAGAGTGCTGACCACAGAAACTTATATACTCGATTTTGAATGCGAATTTTTGCAGCTTGTATTACTACATCACGTTGTCTTTACAAATGATATGGGAAAGTACGTGTTTAGCGTTATAGCGGCATTCGCGTATTAACGATGCCTATTATTTTAAAGTAATAAAACAGCATCGCCAATCCTCAAGGTCAGTAATTTTGTCACTGATTATGGACTAGATAGACAGGCAACCGCTTTGCTAACTGCCAGGAAGTTCAAGAAGCTTGTAACGTAAGAAAAGAAAAAAATGTTATAAATGTGTAAATAACATTGAAAACTTTATTTTTGATGTTTAAATGTAAATTACACGAAGGGAAAAATTTGGTCATGCCTCCAGAATGAAAGTAGGTGATTTCAATGGAAACAATCACATTGAGTTTGAAAATCATTCAAAGAACTTTCTATCACGAAAGGTAAAAAATATAAACAAATTTAGTATTTGAAATAAACAAAATCTTATACTAATTTCTACATTGTCACTCCGGTTATAATACTACAATATTTTACGAGTGTGCTTCATATCAGATAAGGACAAGTTAAAAATGGAATACGCATATTCCTGCAATAATATGCAAACATTAAAATTGCTTTTTGGTATTCTCCACATTGGTAGAATGAATAACAATGATTTAAGTTTTCCCTACATCCACAACTTTAGGTTCATTGTACAGGTGTCACAACACTGGTGAGCAGCCAATGGTTTGTCCTAATCACAAACACGACAGCCAAAGTATAAAGAATACGCGGGTTTCGTATTTTCACATATTTTTCCTTTGAAATTTAGGTGTAAATCTTCCACAAACGTAACATATGTTATCGCGTTGTTGATGTGAAAAGACGATTTGAATTTTAAGTAACTGATTCAATTCAACTGATCATGTCGCGAACGTCACTGGATAAAACCCTGGGAACTAAAATATATTAATGTATTTGCGCCACACGCAAGGCAGACACGAACTTCACGCCCACTGTGGGTACAGTACGGCATGACATAATTGAGCGCGACTGCTAGGCACCAGAAGAAAGACGACTGTCATCGAATACAGAAGATAAAAAACACACGAAATCCCACTTTTATTGATATCTCGTGGAAGTGGCGTAGATGAACTGAACAAATATTTTATTTTTAAATAGATTGTACGCGTATTGATTCTACATATCTTGCGGATGGAAAATAAATGTACTTGCATAATAGCAAAATACGGTTTGTTACTGCCCCCATATGTCAAAACCACAAATGTGAATTTTGTTAGTTTTGAAAAAAAAGGCAATTGAAACTTCGAAGCCCGTGGAAAATTACATATTTACAAAATATGTAAATATTTGTGTGTCAATATGAAATATTAGTAGGTAGAATAATGTGTATTGCGGAATGTTATTTTAAATGTGATTACACTCCCCTCTATATCTTTATTTTGTCACATTCGTGTTTTTTTTATGATACAATATTCAACAAATGCATTTTTATTTACACACAATAATAACAATTCGTGATATTCATTTTCGTGGTATCGAGAGATTCTTGATATACATTTAGTATACATATAAACGACAAGATAAAAAAATCACGAATGTGTTACATTCACTTTTATGACAAAATTGAAGTAAAATGTGTACTACAGCGGAAATGTGACTTTCTGTAACTCGCCAAAGAATAAAGAGACAACACTATCGTTTCTTGCAAAAGCTATATTATTGAAATAAGATGCCAGCCATGCACATATCTCAAAATATCAATTTTCACACATTCGTGGTTTTGGCATATAAGGGGCCATACGGTATAAAGATACGGTGTATTTAAAAAAACTGTGACGTGATATAACATTTTTATTGTGATTTTTGTAATCTACTTATAAAATTGAGTATGATACGCACTCTACATTTCTGGAGGAAAATCTTGTTCCCTAGTGTTATTAGCGTGTAATTAGTTTGTTTTGTGAAAAAGCAATATTTAACCGAACGTCAGGTGTCCAGGCCTAGAAAATATCACAAACGCATTCGAATTTCGGGCTCTTTTGTGGTGTTGTAACCGTGAAGACGGTGCCTAGTTGTTGAAATGCGCTAATACACCAAGTTCTATCTAACTTTGCACAATTTAATATTGCAATTTAAAGTGAAAACAGAAGACCACACTTTTGAAAACTTTTTGGAGAATGTTCTCTACAATGCAAATAGTGCCCACTATATAGGTACGTTTCGACAAAATGCAATTTTACCCGATTTCTTTCTACAAGTCTTTTTTGAAGGTAGCTCATGTCTCCCCCGGCTTCCTGAATCCGTAACTAATGGGGAATTTCAGTTGGTAGAATTATTGCCCGCCAGAATGTTCGTGTTAATTGTTTCTTATATTAGGAAATTATGTATTGTGGTGATAAAGAGTAAGTCTGGTTCGTTATTTGGAACTGACAATATCCTTTAGTAGCACCCATTAGTAGCATGCACAATGCACTTTAGTAGCATGCACAATATACATTAGTAGCATACTAATAAGATTTTTAACATTATTATGAGGTGTATAGTACTAGAGTCTACTAGCATGATATACTTTCCTTTAAAATAGTTATTGTCTATTAAAATACATTTGACACATTTCTTCGCATTGATGTTTCAAAACAGCATACAAGTCTTTGTTTTGCGCAAAAATTACAAATACATACAAAAAAGTTGGTCAAAACCCTTCTACAACTACATAATTGAAGATACATATTTCTTTTTTAATGTATTCCATTCCTCAATGTTAGTTGTTAAAATCGTTTCATGCTGAAATGTTCAAAATGTTAGTAGTTATTGCGTACGTCTGAGTTGTAATGTGTAGTAATGTAAGAAAAATTGCAAATTCATTAGAGGAGCGAATGCTTCTGAGATGGGCTTAGATTCGGCCGGGGAATGTTTAACGTTCGGGTTTGTATCCCATAGTGTTGATTTTTCTTTAAAATGTCTGTAAGAAAAGATAACGAAACACTGTATTTAAAGATCGAAAGCAGTTTTGATTTAAAAGTTTGATTTAAAACAATTAAAAATACGTAAGCAATTTTTCGAACCTCTCGAGATTTGTTTGGGGATGGCTGATGTGTATTATGGAAGTTACAACAATAAAATATAACAGACGTAGTACGAGAAAGTATGTGTTATTGTAACAACTACTTTCTACTAATGTTTATGGAAGAGTGTCTACAGTTTAAAGAACTATAACTTAGAAAGAAGAAAGCCTAAAAATCGAGGGTTGGGCCAGAAGTCATGGCAACTTTTTTTCTAAAAGAAATGATATCAGCTCACACTATTTTATTTATCTCGAGAAAGAAATGTGCTAATGTGTGTTCACAACAACAGATGGCTCTCTGGATGTCTCTATTAGCACAGGGCCGCCTTGCAAGATAAATGTAACTTGTTTCGTGCAGCGCTCATACTACGAGGCAACCGTTCTCCATGGGAGAAATTCCAGACAATGACTCCCGAAATTGATGGGAATGCCCTGCCATATTAGACATCCGCAAAAGGGACATGATTTCAGCGAGGACGCGTAGCAAGCGATAATCAGCAACGCACGTGATGACGTGTGAGTTTGCAGATCGATATGCCTCCTGAAATAATTGAGCATCTTCCTCATCAGCACTTTACAGCAATGCTTTTGAAATGTTGTGAACTCGTATATACTAAAACGATTAGAAACATGAAACCATCACTATAATTTCAACAACCTTAATAAATATGAGAAAAATACTTTTATCGTGACGTTAAATGATCATGCATTTAGTTCATACCTAGTCCTTTGATGTGTATTATACACATTTTCCATCCCTGCTCGTATTCTTACAAAAATAGCTGCCACTCCTATTGACTTTTGTCCCAACCATCATATGAATTACTTGTTCAAACAATTCCAAAAAACGTTATTAAAATTAGTTTAAAACATTAAAGTAATGTAATTAATCAATCCCTAGTAAATAATTTTCATGACGAAAGCGAGCGTCCCAGCCAGACGCGGTTCCGAGCCCCTCCCGCACTCACTTGACGAGCTCCGGCAGCGTGTCGTGGTTGCGCGGGATGATGTACTCGTCGAGGTCGATGAGCGCGGTGTACGCGTACTGGTACATGCTGCGGTACAGGCAGTCGTTGAGCGCGGCGAACAGGCCCTCGGTGCGGATCTCCTTCTGCGACAGCATGTTGAGCTGCCACGGCAGCAGCGTGACCACGCCGCGCGCCATGTAGTCGCGCAGCACGCACGACACCTGCGCGCCCAGCGTGTGGTTGTACAGCGTGAAGTGCTGCACGCCCAGGATGGTGTTCAGCTCCAGGAACTCCAGCATGTGCAGCGCCTGCGGCAGAAACCGGGAACGTGATGCGTAGAACCGTCACAGAAAGTTGACCAACTCAACCCGGCTTAGGATCTTTAAAGCTTCAATTGATGTCATTTCAGTGCCTCTCACCGGGAGATTCTAGGGTTCGGATCCCCAAGCTGGCAGATATTCGACCCTAACTACAAAGCTAGGTTCAGCTGTTGTCTGAAGGAGAATTGAAGCGGACCTTTGCACGGATTAGATGTTTTCCGTGGTTTCTCCGATCGCGAGGTGAATTCTGGAGCAGTACCCTAACAAACGGGCTACAAGCGGTGCGCGATCTTTCTTTCCTCCTCCTTGTCCTATCCTTCCTGGTTATATGCACTACACTACCACACATGCCGGGAAATCGGTCGGGAACGTAAAAATAATTATATGAGTCGTCATTGCCAACAATATTGTTTATTACAATAACAGCTTTCGATGGTTTAGCCATCAACAGTTTTCTGCTGTATGAAAGCCACAAAAACGACTATGCTGAAGTATGGAAGCCACAAAAACGACTACGAAAACGATGATGATGGCTAAGCTATCGAAAGCTGCTATAATAAACAACATTATTGGTAATGACGACTCATATAATTATTTCATTGTAAATGCCATCGGGAACTTAGAACTTGTTCCCACTGAACTGAAAAACTCGTGCCCCAATACGGGTTCGCTGGGACAGCACCATATGATGCGCGAATCGTAACGTAACAAGCTTGCGTATACCGTGAAAAAGTAGAGTGAAAGTGATTAGTGTGGCGTATAAGGAAAAATATTCCGTGCGGGATGCGTTTTTCTCAATACTGCCTTTCTTACAATTCAATGGAACCTAAGATTAAGAAGCTAAGTAACCAGTAAAAGTCTTAGACTTTGCTCATGAAGATCCATGTTTACCCAATCTAGTTTCTGTACACGGGGTCATCCTGGGCCCTTTTCTCGCCTTGTTACACCTAGCAACGGAGCAGTCCAATCTCACAAAAGCGGTCGTTCACCCACGCTCGCGTGCGTTCATCCACGCTCGCCTATTCAGAGCGTCCAACAGGAGCAATGCCACGCTACGTGGCAGGCGCACTGGCCACTTCTATTGTTCCCTATTCCACCACTACCTCCTCCCGCGGGGAAGTCTGCCCTGCTTCGCTTCGTCCCTTATGTCCATTGTCTCACCTCTCCCCCTCTCATCTAGGTCCTGTCTTGTTCCTACCCTCGGCCCGCCTCGTCCCATCTCGCCTCGCATCGTCTCATTTTCCCTCGTCTCACTCCGCAGTGCTCGACCCCCACGACCTCGTACTGGTTCACCTCGATCTACTTGGCCTCGATCCGACTAGTGGTCTCGTCTCTTTCCGCCCCATCGCATCTCGCCCCGCTCGTCCCACCTCATTTTCTTAAAATTTATTTTGTCTTTGTGCTCGGCAGTTCGGCATTTTAGGGTTTGTACATTTTTATTTTTTATACATGGCACTTGGGCATACAACATCTCACTCTTGAAGTTTACAACTAACTAATTTACAGAATTTCATACTTATATTTCTAACATATACGTAATTTATATACAATACGCAATTTTACCGTACATTCCATTTTACCATCATTCAGATGAAGATGCTGTTAATACGTACATTCAAAAATACGTAGTCATGGAAATTTTCTAACTTAAACATTAATTATTTTAGTTAATATCTATTTTAATAGAGATTTTTAAAAATCTTTCGGATATCGTGAAAGTATTCTCTTGGGGTTGTTTAATGTTTTATCCATTGTAAATTTTACACTGCAAGGAGAGGATGGAAGAAATGTAAAAGAAATTGACCTAGTTCTTTCTTGTATGTTCGATTAGAGACTCTATTTAAAGTTCTCTTTGAATACGTGTGTTCGAAATGAACCAAAGAGCCTTTGCACATTTTGTAAACATTTGTTGTGTACAATCCGAAGTTTTACAATGTTGTTTTGTGGTGTTATTTGTTATGTTTTATTTCTGACCAGACAGCCATAAGAGAGTGATATCCTAATAATGGATTTAAGTATTAAAATTGCACATTCGAAATTTAAGGCAGAGCAGAAGTTTATTAATAGATATTTTGGCATATATTGCATTTGTTATTAGTTCAATGTGCTTGTTCCAAGTCAACCTGTTAACTACGTGTACCCAAAAAATATTCACTGGTGTATCAGATAAGCGATGGAATCATAATATTATTTAATACTAACGGTCGAGGTAAATTTTGTTTACAAAGAGTATAACTTTTGGCCTGGGTTCTGGTTGAGTTTATTTTTATTCTCCATTGTAGAGCCCACTTTTGAAAGCAAGAAGTATCCGCCTCGATGTTTTCTTTTATTATACTATCTGTAGGAGTTATGTTTATTGTAGAATTGTCTGCATATAGCGCAAGATTAGTCTCCTATTTGTTTTGATATATAAACATTCAAGAGGAGTGGCGATAGAGTAAAACCTTGTACACATGCTCTTATCTTTCTAGTTTGTGGAAGTGCGCAGTTTACTTTAACTCTGTACGCCAGGTCTGAAATAAAACTACTTATGTCTTGTAAAGAGAAACGTTCATCTAGGAGTACATCTTCCCTTTGTTGGAGTTTGAATAGTAATCCAGAATGCCAAACTTTATCGAATGCTTTCTCTCTGTCTAAAAACTGTTTTATCGAATTCTGTTTGTTTGTATTTTGTTTAGAAACTATTTGCAATTATCCTACCAGGTGAATGAGTGGATGAGTTGTACAATCATTTTGCCTAAACCTGAAATGCTCATTTGGTAATGCCCTTCTTTCTATGAGGTATTTTGTAAATATTTTTTGTATCAGTTTCTGAAATATTTTAGAAAACGAGGATAACAAGCTAATTGGCCTGTACTTCTTTCTTCCTCGGGGCTTTCACCTGATTCATTGAATAGAAGGACAATGGCCTGTTTTCATGGTTTTGGATAATATCCAATTCTAAATGCTAAATTACACACTGATGCCAGAACTGCAATCCAGCGTTTTAGTAGTTCTTTCAAGACTGTTATTTGGTCATGGTTGGCAGCCTTCCTAATTTTGAGTTTATTCATAAACGTAGTTATTTTGTAAATTTAACTGGGGTATTAAGTCTGCCATACGTGCCTGTTATATACTCTTCAATTTCTTTTAGTATCCTTAACGTCGATAATTTGGTTGAGAGTTAAGTATTTTCCCAATTTTTTGGCATTGTAATCAAACTTTTCTTTGTCCGAATGTACATAGTTTCCTATTTGGGTGTTTGAAGAAGGATTTTTCATCCGTTTTGCTTTGATTGTTATCCACAGTCATTTTCAATTAAGACGTTTTTGGGATAGATAAATTTGAAAGTTGAATATTCGTAATTTATCTAATTCAATTTTTATTATTTTCGCTAGTTTCTTTATATTTCTTATGTAATTAGAGTTTGTAGTTATTTGCTATTCCCTTTTCAGCTTTCGTTGTTCATTTATCAGATTCAATAGTTGCTTAGGCAAATTCCTACATGGTCTGTGTGCTGGAGGAGATAATATAATACTTTCATCTAAGTTTTTATGAATTGCGTTGTTTATTCTGGTTATCTCTAATTCAAAGGTCTATTCTAATATTTAAATTGTGTGTTTTTAATTGAATTTGGAAATTCTAGGTTTTGAGACATTAGATTTCAACATTTATTTCTGTGGATGCTGAATTCAAATTTTTCCTCTTCTTTAAATTGTAAGACACAATCACGTTAAAACTCACGTTGTGTGATGGATGTGCCTCATAGTAACCACTGGCACACTCAGGCACTCACTTACTAGCGGCGGCAGTGGAGCTGGAAAGGCGCCCATTCTTAAGTGAATCGTTTTTGATGAGGACGGGGACACGTATCCGCAGAATTCATCGCCATTTAACTTTTAATTGGTCAATTCCATTGACTGTACAATATCCTATGGTTTCAATTAGCCCTCACTATTTACACTCATTTAGACAGACAAATACTTACTCTGTATGTTGGTAGTTTTACGTACAGAACAATAGGGAATACAACCAAATGTCACTGCTGAAAAACCATAGCTAAATCACATCAGACTGCCAAATCGATCACCAGAGTTCTGACTGATCCTTTGACTACTGAGTCGAACGCGATTTCCACTATGCCGTGCTCAGCAGAAGTGTGTCCCACAACCAGCCGTCCCTCTCTGCTTCAACCCTCTCTGCTTCATTACGTTTCGCCTCGTTTCAGCCAGTCTTTTCCCGCCTTGCTTCGTTCCGTCTCGCCTCGTTTCAGCCAGTCTTTTCCCGCCTTGCTTCGTTCCGTCTCGCATTGACCCCTTGCTTCGTCTTGCTTCATACCACCACTCCTCGCCTTCTCTCAATAATACTTCTCTTAGTCTCGTCCCTCGCAACCTCAACCACACCCGCCTCATCTCAACCTTGCTCCTCGCAGCCTCGTGCCTGGCAGCCTTGTACCTCGCAACCTCAGCCCCACTCCCGTCGTCTCAACCTTGCCCCTCGCAGCATCGTCCCTTGCAGCCTCGACCCTCCCAGACTCCGCTTCGTCCCGGCTCGCTTCGTCCTACCTCGCCTCATATCTCTGCCTTGCCCCTCGCTGCTTGATTCTCCCTGGTTCCTCTCAGCTTCATGTATTGCATTTCTTTCCGGTTCTATTCGACCCGTCTCGACCGTCTCCTACTGCGTTGTCCCTCTCTGCTTCGTCCTGCTTAGATTCTTCCTGACTCGTCCCATCCAGCTTTGTCTCTCGTAGCCTCGTCCCTGCCCCTTCGTCCACATCTGGTTCCTTTTCCCCTACCTCGACCCCAATCGCTTTATCCCTCACCAACTTGTCCAGTTGCAGCTGATCTCTTTCGCCCCGGTTCGGCTCCCTTGGCACTTTCCTCGTACGCAGGGTCCTCTCCCCCTCTCGCCCGCGCCTTTCGTACACCCTTCCTCCATAAAGGCTTTCACGTAACAGCAACTACAATTCCGGGTCTAATGACCGAAGTAGCGGGCGCGGCCAGAAACAGAAAATGGTCAATCAATCATAAACTATTTCATTGTGAAGTGTCTATAGTTTGAACCATGAAAGACAGAATTAGTCACTTTGCCTCGGTTCTGTCTCCGCCTGATCGTTTCCAGCGCGTGCACAACAAACCTGGGCAGACAGTTATTTAGTTATATAGTCTGCGAAGTGAAAACGTTTTGAACTCCCGCAATCAAGAGTCAGCGCCCCCACCTGGTTGTAGTTGAAGTGCAGCGGCTTCACACAGACGGCGATGGTGTAGGACACGTGCGCGACGCTGCTGACGGGGGGCGCGGCGTTGGCAGCACTGGCCTTGGATCCTTTTCCCCCGCCTCGTCCCTAGTTGCTTTATCCCTCACCGACTCGTTCCATTGCAGCTGATCTTTTTCGCTCCGTATCGACTCCCTCGCAGTGTTCTCTCGCCTGCGCCCTTTGTACACCCTTCCCCATAAAGACTTTCACGTAACAGGAACTACAATTAAGGGTGTAATGACCGAAGAAGTGGACGTGGCTAGAAACAGTAAATGGTCAATGAATCGTAAACTATTTCACCGTGAAGTGTCTTTAGTGAACCATGAAAGACAGAATTAATCACATCTATCTCCGCCTGATGTAAGACCACACATGATTTCATCTTTTCCAGCGCGTGCACAACTAACGTGGGCAGTCAATTACTTAGTTATATAGTCCCCGAAGTGAAAACGTTTAGAACTCCGACAGACAGTCAGTCAGAGCCAGCGCCCCCACCTGGTTGTAGTTGAAGTGCAGCGGCTTGACGCAGACGGCGATGGTGTCGGGCACGTGCGCGACGCTGCTGACGGGGGGCGCGGCGTTGGCAGCACTGGCCTTGGGGTTGGGCGCGGGCTGCGGCGGGGGATCCCCGCCCAGGGGCCCGGCCGTGAGGTTGCGCGCCGCCAGGTCGGCGTCGGTGTTGCGCACGACGAGCAGGTTGGCCGGCGGCAGGCGCAGCCAGCTCACCACCGACACGGCGCTGGGCGCGGCCAGCTTCTTGCCCAGCGCGCACAGCACGAACGCCGCGCTGTACTTGAGGTTCCAGTTCTCGCGAATCACCTGCCCAACACAAGTCGTTTACAGAACAAGAACATTGGAACCGTTTATGAGATAATGAAAAAAAATAGCAGGAGCTTCATGTAAAGTATCCATCAAAATTAACTTAGACCACACGTGCATGCACTCTGAATTTACCGATTTTTCTCTCTCAGAGTTGTTAGCCCTGGGGGTGTGGAAGAAGAAATGATGATTACAGCGAGGAGTGAAAAGACGACACATACATACAGACTTACACAAACACGCCTATACCCGAGGCGGGACTGGAACCCACGAGTTTCTGGTCCAAGACCGCTACGACACTACTACCTTAGCGATCTCCGCTATCTGATCGAGATTATTATTATTATTATTATTATTATTATTATTATTATTATTATTATTTACGTGTCAGCTATTTCTGAGAAGATTTCTGAGAGATTATCACGTTCTCTTCTAAGGCCCAGTCATATTCATGAGCGATTTTAAAATTTGCTGTTATGGGAATCAGCTTTTCGGCTGCATCAGTTAGCAAAACAAGGTTGTTACGCCTTTAATTATGAATTACGAGGTGATAGGATGATGATGATGATGATGATGATGATGAGGGGTGAAGGCACAATCACAAATACGACCATGCTTTCGCGGGACTCGAACATACAACCTCCTGCTGACGCTACCGTCTGCTTCACGGGTCCAACTTCTTGTTCTTGTTGGAATGGTTGGAATGAAATGACAATTCACAACGATCGCCCGGTGTTTAGACTATCAAACGACACATGTACTACGTGATGCAAGCTATGAATCCAAACAATGAGAATGGAACCTGCAGCCTCGCAAAGTTGATCGATTACCCAAGTCCCTGCACCAGCGAGATCAGTTAGCAACTCGTATAAACGTGCAAATTCCTTCAAAATCCCGAACGCGTTCCACTCAACCGAAAGAGCACGTACGCACGCACCTTGACCTTGGCGGCGACGGTGACGGAGTAGGGCTTGGCGGCGCTGGAGGCGGTGGAGGCGTTGCCCTGGGCGTGGGCGGGACCGGGGCCGGGCGCCGAGCCGTTGTACCACAGGCGGCACCACACGCGGTCCGGGCCGCGCGTCTTGGTGGCGGCGATGATGCGCACCGTGCGGACCTCGCGCCGGTCGTAGAAGGCGGAGAACACGAAGAACTTGAACCTGCGAAACAGGGGCAACCAACCAATCACCCACAGCGGGCCCCGCCTGCGCAGCCACTTGTTCACGGAGAAATAAAATAAATAACTAAAAATTAAACTAATTATTGAAATTGAAATAAATTCTTGAAATTATCATTAATAAATTAATAATAAAAAATAATTAAATAAAAAATTAATGTTTTGTTGCGAGACTCAGGCCAATTGGCCGGGCCTGCCATTCCCCCTGACCACTTACAAAATTGTATGAGTATAATAAAAAGGAGGTCTTTCAAAGAAACGACCTACGGAATTAGGGGAAAATGTTTCTCGCACAGGACTGGTGGCGAGGGAGGAGGGAGTTAATAGAAAAGGAACATCCTCAGACTATTTGTGTGATTAAATTTATAAACCTCAAGTTAGAAATGGATTTAAAATCAATCAGAAATATATCAAGGGATTACATTTGAATACTTAACGAGATTTTATTCAAAACTAGTAAAATTATCTTTGTGCGACTCAGCAAGTTGGGAGTAGAGGAGGATTGGAAATTTTAACATTTTCTTGGGTACATATTTTAATTCGTATAGATAGTCGTAAAAAATGATATAATAAAATATAATGAATACGAAAAGTAATAGTATTTTTAGAAAACTTTCTAATGGATTCACTTCAAAATAAATAAAAAATAATATAAACAAAACCCAACCATTGATATTCAAGAAAATTTGAGTATATAAATTGTTTTTGTGGGGAAATTTCACATAATATTAGTAAAATATAATATTTCTAATCCATCCATTCAATACGTACCCACGTTCTTATAAAAACCTAATCGCATACACACACTCTTGAAATAAAAAAAAATAACTCGAAACACATATTTTTTGTCTAAGGAGGAATCAAGAACCTAAATCCCATGGAAATGCCTTCTGGAAAATGACACTTGGTGTGTAAGTTCTGCAAATTTTCGTATTATGATTTGTGTATGTGGGTGTGCCCCATCTTGTGTGCTGTTTACCTCAAAGATTCACAGCTTGTTTAAGATTCTTCTCAAGTATCTTCACAATAAAACAGCCAAAATTTGCAATGTTTAAAGCACATTCTTTATATTTTTATGTCTATCCACACAAATGGCGTTCACGAACAATATATGTCGTGCACTTTCAGTTGGGTAAGTAGTGAAATGTGTAAACTGCAGATAAGGTGTACTACTAAAATTTCATTTCTATCTTTAGTACTTCTTATTTTTTTAACTAGCTGTTAATGTAAGAATGAGGTCTAGAGTTGTCTTGGCAAACTTTAATAATCCGCGTTGCAATGTTTTTGCTGTATCCGCGTCTGTAATAAAACTGCATTTACTTTTGAACTATAGAGAAGATAAACAGCTCCTTTACATTTTGTTGCGTTGTATACTTTTTAGTGCATTCTTACGTCCACATTCAGAGAGTGAAGCTTTTTCTTGTTTTTATAATTTTGTGCAGACGCATGAGAAATGTAGGACGGTCGTTAATTTTCCTCGAAAAAGGTCACTGCACTTTTATATGTTATTTAAAATCTGCGAATGATATTGTCGGCGAATGATGCACGTGACGATGCACCGAACGCCGCGTTGCTCTTCAACCCTAAGGAATATCACAACAAAATGGTCGAAACGACGGCATCACAGCCTTCGACACCGCTACACCTGGACAAACAAGATCTTCTGCATGGCTGTAGCCGCGGACATCAATAATAACGTTCGTACCCTGGAAATTTCACTCTGGATACTAGTTATAAATGTTTATATAAATTATTTTAAGAATTAATGCAATTTTTTTGAATGAAATAATTGAATTTTTCTAAAAAAAAGTATTTTTTTCATTATTAATTATATTCTATTTGCAATGCTTTGTTTTTTGAACTTGTTACGAATTCATGCAATCGTTATGGACTTTTATAAAGCTTTCGATTTAGTTCCTGACGACAGTCATCTTAAAAAGTTATCGAATCGGAAGTAGATTCGTGAGTAATCATCTGGATTATGGAATTTTTCAGACACAACGTTTTTCATTCTGTTAATAATACCGGAACCGAAATTTGATCGACAATCAGAGTTTTCGTGAACAACTGCATAGTTTATCGCAAAATTAAAACCACGTCCCACGTTCAGCAGTTGCAACACCGGCAGCACTTTTCGAACAAATGCAAATCAAGATAATGTATCGTTAAGGGAGTTCAGTGCACAGTCTGCCGGCAGACTTCGGAACTACAGTGCGCCAGGAAAGTCTCTCCGTACCCAGCCGCATTAGCGCCTCCAATTAAAAATTGTATGAGATCACTGAGACTCACGTGAATGACACAACATCTCCTGCATCTATTATGATTGTGTCGGGTACTCAATTTACGTTTTTCTAGCTGCAGCTCGTACCAACATAATTTTTGATGCACACACTCTCACCAGCCACGTGCCACGGCTGAGAGATTTCTCTGGTGCGCTAAACTTCCATTCGGAACATAACGTTGTGTAAAAGCTCTTTATGGACTGGCTCTTTATGAACTCTTTCTCGAGCACGGTATTGGTCATGAGAAGGCTTAATTCTACGCTGTGCAAAATCCCTCCAGAGGCGCCTTTCCCTATGTGAAAGAGGGTCGTACCTGGTGCCGGAGACGATCTGCCAGATGCCGTCCTTGGCGAGCAGGCTGGCGTTGAGGCCGGGCAGTCGCGCCTCGATGCCCGAGGGGATGCCGCCCGGGGCCGCCGCCGCCCCCGCGCCGCCCCGCCGCCCCCGCCACGCCGCCCCGGGCGCGCCCGGCCTCGCGGGGATGGCGCGCACCCCCATCCACATTTGCCATGAGCGGCTGCACAAGCGCGAGCGTGTTGTGTGGCCCCGTGCGGCTCGCCTCCCCCCCCCCCACCCGTCGTCTGGGCAGCGGCGGGCGTGGCGGCGAAACCACCGACACCACCACCACCACCACCACCACTCGACGCACACCACCTGCGCCGCGCGCGGCCGCGGCGCCGCCGCTCCTCTCGCATGAAGACGCCCAGGCCCTCGTCGAAGCCCACGCGGTACAGCGTGTAGTCGTCCTGCGGGACACATGGCAAGCAAGGGGTTGGTGCGTCGCAGATACTCGCATTTCAGCAGCCTGGAATTGTAAGGAAGACAGCGCCAGAGCGAGTACACTGAGATGCAAACTCCCTTACGGTGATTGGAGGACAGGATGAAGACCACTGGTGGGCGCGTAGTTCTCTTTTAGGGGGAATGGTATGTGTTTCATTTGGTGCAGAACTTCACGGATTTGAGGAACCTGGGCATTAAGGGAAGACATCGCGAGAGTGAATTGATGGAGTTGCAAACTTTTACGGTGATTGGAGGACAGGACGAAGACCACTGGTGCGTGCGTAGTTGTCTTTTAAGGGGAATGCTTGGTGTTTAACTTGGTGCACCACTACATGCATTCGAGGACCCTGGATACTGAAGGAACATCGCGAATGCGCAAACTCGTATATGGTAATAGACAGAATGACGGCTCCTGGGTACACTTGTAGATCTCTTTCAAAGCATCTGTTTGATGTCAAAGTTTTTTTGCAATCCGAGAACGACAGAGGCTTAATCCTGGAAACTTCAGACAGATATTGCAAAGCGAGAATTTTGAGTAGCAAACGTTTAGTAATGGCAAGTCAGGATGAAGACTCTCGCTTCCACGTGACGTCTTTAAGGGAGACTATTACTTGTTGAGTTTGATGCACCCCGGCAGAGATTTGGTCTTAATTCTGAACATTTAAAGTAGATATCTCGGAAGGGAGGAGGTTCAGTAGAAAATTCGTGTATTGTGATTGGAAGAAGTGTGACTGAAAGAGACGGCGCATAGTGAAGTCGTATGGAGGAACAAGGGGCATAGGATTGAATGCCCCACGAAGGGAATTTGGGTTTAAGCTAGACAATTGTGGAAACGAAGGTAATATGTAGAAAAAGTTTCGTTCGTTATTAAAGAGGTATCAAATGAAAAAGCCCAGGCTCAGTGTGTAGTAATTCTGGAGGACATACGTCGCAATCTTTGGTTAACGGCGAGACACGTTTGGGTTGAGGCTGGAAATGTAAGGAAGATACCAAAGAAATTATATTGAAAAGCCAGATTTGAATTTGGAGTGGCTTGAAATGGAAGGATCTTTGGTATTAACACCAATTCAAACACCACGACGTATTCAGCGTTTCTGATACGAAGAGCATTATAATAACATAATACTGTAATATGAATCTGAAAAATATCATTAACAAGAGAAAAATAATGTGTAAGAGTTTCAAAATGTATGTGGCGAAAATTTAGAGGTTACGTGCGGTGCTGCCTGCTTTACAAGCTCGAAGACGGCCTTACATTTTCAAAATGGTGTCTGATTATTTGGCATTTAATGGCTTCGCAGATGAAATTGATACAATGCATGATGGGCGAAGGTTTGATTATGTCAAGCACGTGAGAGAGTAAGTGTCGTTATTCCATCGATGATGCAACAGTTGCAAACTGTATGGTTTCTGTTTCAATCGTCAACGCGAAACTTCCCACAGTCTCCACAAACTCCACACGACAGCCACAAACTCCACACGACGGCATGCCTAGTTCACGACTTGCACTGTTCGTGGACCTCCGTTGGATTACCGTTGAAAGTCTGTCTCCACTGTGTTGTCGGAAACACTTGAACCGTTTTAGTGACATACTGTGTTCTTGAACTGTCTTCTCTATCGCAGAATGCTCTGGTATGTTGTTAATAAACAAAATTATTAGAGAGAGATTTTTTCTTCTAATGAGGTCTCTTCTCAAGTATTTAGTTTTTAAATTAATATTACGTTAATGTTTTGAAAATATCTAGTAGTTTTCGCGTACTTTTAAGTGAAATATAGGCAATACTACAAACAAGATTTTCTGAAAAAGCGGCTCCAATTTTTTATCAACAGTTCTAAACGCATTAAATAAAAGGACATTAACCGTTTTGATGCAGGATTTTAATTTTAAAAAAAATTATACAAGTACGCTAAAAAATATTGCTCACGACAAGTTAATATTTATATTACGGGCAGTTTTTAAAGATTATTGAATTAATGAGGAAATGAGTTTTAAACAATTTCTTACGAAGTTTCTTGAAAACTCAAAACTTCCCTGAGAAAATGAGTTCATAAATGTTGAGACATTTTTTTAAACGAATTCAAATGCTTCAATGAAAATTAGCCCATAGAATCCGGATTAACTTTTCTGTAATACTCTTGAAATCATATTTGAATTCTAGTAATAGATACCGGAAAATAAAAAAATAAAAATGTGAATAGTGGGTTTTGATAAATTATTTTTAATAAACCACTGTTTGCATGTTATAAATATTACATGAAAGTAAACATCATTATGTTAACTCATATGCACTATCAATAACATGTTCTACACTATCGTCTGTAGTGGTAATTAACTGTAAGAAAATTGTCCATTAATGAGTGTGCACACTTACGAGCAAAAAGTGATCGTTTTCGTCACCATTGTATATATTTCCTAAAAGGTTTAATATTTATTTTGAGACATCTGTTCAGCCATGTTGTACATAGCATTCAGACCCAGAACCTACGCGCACCACAGCGGTGTCCGAAGGTGTTGTTTTACGTTAATATGTATATTCCCGTTGCATTGTAAATTACTAAATTATAATATATTTTGTTTCCTCTGTTATGTAATTTGTGAGGTTTATTAGAAAATAGTTTGTATAATACGTAAAGCATATCAACAAAATAATGTAAAGCAGCAACCAGCTGCTGATGTTATTGAAAATATAAGTATATTTATAAATAAATAAATAAAGCCGACGTTTTCGCTATAAAGTTCAGAATAAAATTAGTATACTGTAATAACTCTATACGAATTGATTACAAATAAATAATACATTTTATCCGGCCGCTTTTGTATCCTGTTTACGAGCGCATTGGAAGTATAAATAAGTAAAATAATATTCCATCCGATTTAATGAAGCTTCATCATATACAAAATGACTCATTATCATTAAGATAATATTTAGGTAAAACTAGGGATACTAGCTTCAGAGTAATTGGAAAAATAAGAAATGTTTGGATAGTTGGTACTGGTAAGTCCACTTCCTTTCTACTGGTTATTCATATGGCCAAAACAGCCATCTCAGGCAATAACTAATTCAGCACAACAATTGTACACCCAAAAATAAATCTTTGGTAAATAACATAATAAATTTTGTTTTTAACGATGTCTATTGATTAACCCTTCAATCATGTTTTTAATTTCTGATATCTTCATTTGTGAACAGAATGCTGCTAAATTTGTTATAAAAAGATCTGGGAGTGAAGAATCGAATGTAGGGATTCCTGACTAGGACAGGGGTACGTGACCCCGCTGTAATGTATGCCGGAGAGGCAGTGTGAGGCAGTCGCAAACCATGAAGGACGCGGTCGGCCAGGTCATACGTAGCATGCGGTTTCGTGGAAATCGAGGCCTCCGCTCACCAACAATTTGGCGCCATCTGTAGTTGAACACCCCTTTGATGCAAATTGGAGGGGTTTTCATGCTTCAGTATTAACCGTCTCAGGCTGCTGCTCCCCCTCGCAAAGAGAATACACGATTTACATCTTCCTCGCTTCCTGTAGCATTAGTTTATTCACTGGCCGGTCAACCTTCCACCCCGCCGACCTTCGCACCCTCAAACTCCGCCGTGTTTGCGATTGGCTGATTACCGCGAGCCCTCCGAAATGTATTTTGGGTCGGCAAACTCGTTCGTCGCGTGCAAATTGAATTTAGACACGACATATGGAATTACGGTTGAATAAATACCCATGGCAAATATTTAAAGAGCCGGCCGTGGTCGCCGAAGTTGGAGGGGGGTGGGGGCTGGGGCGGAGCGTTGGGGAGGGTGAATGTGTCGCAATATTTGCTCAACGCTTGCGTGGCCGGAAAACCAACACGCCATTTTTGCCGTAAATTGAATTCTTCGCCGGCGGGGGGCGCGCCGGGAAGTTGGCCGTTAGCGTATTGAAGATTCCGCACGGTCCTTGGCTGCTGGGCAGTTATGAAATTTGGGGCGCCAAGTTAGGGGCGGGAAGGAAGAGGCACCGACGAAGTCAGCAAGGAGCGAGGGAAAGAGATGGTTCGGGATGCTGGACGGAGTGTCACTATGTGTGGAGGGGGAGAGGCAACAATTCAACCACAACTACAGAATGTGTCAGAATAACGTATATTCTGAGATATTTAATGTTGAAAACTTCCAGGGTATGTAGTGAGGTAAAAATGATCACTTTTGGACTCTTTTAATGAGAATTTTCATATAGAAGAGTTATTTATATGTGGATATATGATTATTCAAAGTTGTGTTTAAGTGAACAAGAAATGGGATCACATATTTACTTAATGCACTGAATGTATCTGTTCTCACTTCTGTAGAACTCTGCTTCTAATAAATTTAAAAATATATAAAGCTTAAAGTGGCCTTCTGTTTGAACACGAACCTATGTTCGCCTTCCAATCGAGTTCCGACCACTACCTGCAACAGTGCAGGTGCAGCATCTACAGCAAAAGTGCCTTCTCTCTGACAGTCTTCCAAATATTGATTCATCAGGGATTGATTCATCAAGAGCAATGAAAAAAAATCAGAGACTACACGCACTCAAGTTTAAAACACACTCTGTAACAGCTCTGTATCCATTTATGGATCGTATATACACATAGTATGCGTTTATTGTGTGTTTCTTACGATCGTATAACGTTGATTACGTGATCAATAGAGTTTTAGGATTGTTCATACGTCTTGCGCTAAACTTCTCTCTTAGCTTAAGTTTTTTGCGCCTAT